TGCACGGCAGGAGCTGGAGGAGATTGTGATGGCGAGGGAGAGTGGGACTGCGTATATCATGGGGAAGTCACACGTGCTGCCCGGGAAAGGGTCTAATTTGTTGAAGAGGTTGCTGATTATGGGTTACGTGTTTCTTGATAACAACGCGCGGGAGCCGCCCGTGGCTCTCAATATCCCGAAAGCGGCTCTTTTGGAGGTTGGGACGGTTTATACGATTTGAGTGAGGGGAATTAGCGGATGTGGTGCTAACTATGGTCTCACTTGCATTTCTGTTGCTCTATTGAGTGTGTGTGTGTGTCTGAGCCTGTGAAAAGAATGTACTTTGTTGTCGTGGTTGGAGAAACTATTTGGATGGAGTTTTAACGGGAAAAAATGTCGTTTTAGTACCCTAATTATACCCGCTTTAATCAGTTTATGCACTCCATCACTTTTGGTGCAAATTGTTAATCAGTCATCTTTGACTAACGACTGACCGGTTAAAGGAGATGGAAAGTTCATAAGAAAAGGGGAGAATTACCTCCTCTCTTGTGTTGGCAAGAGAAGACGACTTCAAATACAAAAAATTCACAAAAGTGAAAATAAAAATTAAAATATTTATTACAATATATTTACCACATTAAATCAAACGTTAAATTAAAATAAATGTCAAAAGATATAGAATCAATCTGTTCAAAGGAAAATGTAAATGCTTCGCAATAATCCAAAAGTCATGCTATATGAAATTTTCAAGACGTTTTCCATAGGACAACATCAAATTTTCAACACTTACATCGTAACCTTGTAACCAATAACCTCATCACATGGAAGACGCGTGAAAACACATCTAAACCCCTCATGAATGCCATTGTCTTCAAAAAATTCCCTTGCAGCACCATTTTTCATCAACTTTTTCCCATGCCCCTGAGTTATTTCAACTTCACAGGCAGTACCTTAAACCCACATGATACTTTAGCCGTGTTGTTCTTTTCGTTCTCGATATTCGACTTTCAGAAATGCATAAAAATTAGCTAGAAAAGCAATATTGCAATGAATTGTAAATGTGGTTTCTGATTGTTTAGTTATGATTATACACTAACAAGTGAAACACAGAACATAAGTGCTTGTCAAACATGCTCGCTCAACATGCATTAACTTTATGTATATAATGCGAATTGTGGTTCCCTTTCAACAATAGTCTCTGGCATTACAATTACCTTCATCTTAGTAAGATTATTTCGTTCGGAGAAATGAATGTATCACTCATGAATGTCCTCCGACTGAACATAAGTCTGCCAACCATCAATAAAGCACAGATGATTATTCAGCCACCTCATTGTTGCTTGATAGGTATGCCCGTCTCTAGTTGCGAGGCTGCAACTCAGCAGTAGTATGTGGCGATATTGATTGTGGATAGTAGGCTGTTGCGACTTATGCAACATAATATTGACTTCCTTTTGTCATAATATGTATAATATTTATGTATTGAAATATGATAAAAAAAATAAATGGGCAGTTGCAACAGTTTGAGCGTGTGATACCATTGTGGGGCTTTGTAGATCAACAATGATCTTGAAAAAATGTTTCAGGTTATCTGCCATATTCTGGTACTTGTAACAGACCCAAATGTACTTAAAATGTCCACATCACAACACCTAATTAGAGTTTTTATAATTTCTTAGACAAGTAACAACAATAACGTCCACAACCCAAGATCTAGCATATAAATAAGAATACACACGAGAAAGTACAATAAAGTATATTGCAGAACTAAGTGCAATATATGCTAGTAAAACTTAAACATACAGTAAAACTCAAATGTCGAAGTTTATTCTTCTTTTACTAAAAACACAAAACACAGATTAAGATGTCATTAATTGAACTCAATGTCATCTCTTCATGCACTCCATAAATCTGTGATAAAACACCACCTAGTACTTAGTTCACTGCCTTTAATCATATAATACCAATCGTGCTTATTCATAGCATGATGAATTTAAATCTACAATATCCAAATTCAAAAGAACACCACCACAGTTCACTGCCTTTAACAATAGACTTATAGACTTATTGCTCAAAGAGACATAAATTCCACAAACAAAAAACACCTCCTCGACTAATTCGAAACCAAAATAAAGTAAACTATGCCTTCTTCAACACATGTCCAAACTAAAGTCAAGCTCATCCATAATCTTACATTCAAAATTAGAACTAAAATCAACTCCAAGCAATACTTCAAATGAAACTGAGTATGTTCAACCAATAATATTATATATATTACACATGCAGTATATAGATACACACGCTTCAACAAATTCAGAAACAAAGTAGTTCAAAATTATTTGATAGACTACGCAAAATTCAGAAACATACTAAAACAAGCAAACATACACACACCAATTTGGCAGACATAGTCATATACCCATTACACACATACATATATATTTTTTTCTCTGTCATCTTCTTCCCAAATATTTTTTCTATGTGCGAAGGATAAAAGAAAGAATTGGCACATGTAGTCACCTATTACACACATACTCATTACACACATACCCTTGAAATTTTAGTTCTAAAAATTGAGTGTGAATTGTGGAATTACAAAGAAAACAATGAATTGGGAAAAAAAATTGTAGCAATTGCAATCATAAATAAATGCCTAAAAATTTTTGATTTCAGCACAAAGCTGACAAAAAAAGGTCATATTTCTTACCGACGGACTTTTGATTGCAGCGGACTACGTCAGCGTCACCTTATCGGAGGGATGATGAATTTAAACAATGACATCATGCGTGCACTATGTTTGTAGATTGGGAACGAAGAGAGTGACTTACCATGAACTTACTAGATACTTTGTAACCTATGAACTTCCCACTTGTTTTAACCTGTCAGTCGTCAGTAAAAGACAACTGACTAACGTATTGTACCGAAAATGATTCATGGACCATTGATATGGTGCAGAGTAATGCTCCACTATCCACGGTGGGCACATGTTAATATGCCCACCACTTATGTGGCATGCACACATTAGTGATGTATTATTTTGAACATATTGACATCACCAATGTGTGCATGCCACATAAGCGATAGACAAATTAACATGTACCCATTGTGGGTAGGGGAACATTATTGATGGTGCATAAACCGATTAAGTGGATAGTTAGAGTATCAAATGTGAAGAGGGAGTATAGTTAAGGTACCAAAACGACATATTTCCAGGGTTTTAACCATTAGTGTCTGTTTGGTTGCTAAAATAGCATATATATGCATGATAGTATCATTTTATTCTTATTATAGGATACCTATGCTTTAAATCAACCTCATTGTTTTGTTTGGAATATGCATGATAGAACAATTAAGAGGAAACTTATTTAAATTTAGACCATCTCCAATGCTCAAATGTAGTTGTACTAAATTACACTTTACATTAACAAATTTAGCAATTTCTCCACTTTTAGTCCTTCAATGTATAATATTATCACAAATGTATAGATGAGGTGGGCATAGTTAATGTATACAATGTGGAGAAGAATGTGGTTCTTCTACATTCTCTTTCACATTCTAGCCAACTAATACAGAGAAGAGAGAAATATGTTTACCATTTTTAGATCTAATTATTTAAATTATTTTCATATATATATATATATATATATATAATTTGTGTATTTTGGCCAAATGGACAATATCGTGTTTGTGCATTCGAGATAAATTTTTAGATTTAAAGTTATGAACTTAACACTTATCTTATTTGGTTCACAATCCATATAATTAATTGACATATATAATTTATATAATAATAATATTTATGCATTGTAGATACTAGTAACACTTGTTGGCATCTAGAACAATTAAGAATATGTTTTGTAAAACTAGCTGATAAGCTAGCTGATAGCTGACAAGTTAGCTTATACCTTATCAGTAATTTTTTAGCTTATAGCTTATAGCTTATGACTTATAGCTGAAAAACTCACTTATATGATAAAAGTGTTTGATAAGATTAGATGATAAGCTAGTTGGAATAAAAAAAAATTCAATTAGCTTATTTGAAAAGCTACATGAAGAAGCTTATCAAATAAGTTCGAGCTTTTTAAAAAATCTTGTCTTACAATACAAGGAGCTTATAAGCTAACAAAATAAGCTATAAGCTAACTTATTTGTCTACTAATTTTTTTTTGGAGTCTGGGTTAACTCAATCAATTCATGATCACTGTCTTTTTACCCAAACAAATGAGCAAGACTTCCTTGCATTGTTGTTATATATTTTTTTTAGAGCAACATCAAAAAACAGTAAAAAATAAAAACTACAAGGATCACAAAAATATCCGATGTGGATCTAAAATCAAAACCTCATAAAAAGTCGTCCTGGTCAAAGTGACCAGGCATGGAATCCAAAATATCAAATCTAGTCAGGGGCAAGTGGTGGCGGTCGACCGAATCTGAAGGATGGGTACTCTAACTGGTCCATCCAAATGAGCGTCCGAAGCCGGAGGGGAATGTCCTCAGAAAGAAGGGTGCGTCTCTGGGGTAAAGATGCCCCCGTGCTAGCAAGAAAATCAGTGGGTCGATTTCCCTCCTGGAATATATGTGAGACCTGGTAATGAATCGAGCGGAGGGTGTCTCTGATATGCAAAAGAGGATGCTGGATCTGCCATGAGCCCTGGTGGCCAGATGTCAAAAGTGTGATGACAGCCGCATCATCCATCTCTATCCAGACATGAGAGGAGATCGATGCGG